ATTTACTAAATTAGGTGAGAATGCTCACACAACACATGGTGTAAGGATCCACTACAGTTAGCCTCATCCAGGCTTATTCCTACATAGACTGGAGTTATTGATTTACTAAATTAGGTGAGAATGCTCACACAACACATGGTGTAAGGATCCACTACAGTTAGCCTCATCCAGGCTTATTCCTACATAGACTGGAGTTATTAATTTACATAGGTGTCCTTTTATGACACAGAGAATAGCTGCGATTCAACGGATCTCAGCTATTCTCTGGTCATTCACAGTTTATGACACTCAGGAGATCATGTCAGCCCTTCACTGGAGATCTGTGTTCTCCCTCCAGATTCTCCAGCCCAGAGCTGGAGAATCAGAGGGACCGCAAACTAAGCAGAGATAATTTGCCTCTCTTTAGTAAACTGATCTTTTACTGTAATCTCGCGAGATTATAGTAAAATCAGCCATTTTCCAGAGTTTGTAGACCGTTCTCCAACGTTTGGAGACCGTTCTCCCTTCGTTCGGAGAACTGTTGCATAAACTGTATTCATAGGAGAACTGTGTTCTCCGAGAATGCCGGAGAACTGAGCAGCGATCTATTACCGCTGGTTCATAAACGGACACCTAAATTAGGTGAGAATGCTCACACAACACATGGTGTAAGGATCCACTACAGTTAGCCTCATCCAGGCTTATTCCTACATAGACTGGAGTTGTTGATTTACTAAGGTGTCTATTTATGACACAGAGAATAGCTGCGATTCAGAAGATCGCAGCTATTCTCTGGTCATTCACAGTTTATGACACTCAGGAGATCAGCGAGGAGCGATGTCAGCCCTTCACTGGAGATCTGTGTTCTCCCTCCAGATTCTCCAGCCCAGAGCTGGAGAATCGGAGGGACCACAAACTAAGCAGCGATAATTTACCTCTGTTTAGTAAACTGATCTTTTACTGTAATCTCGCGAGATTATAGTAAAATCAGCCGTTTTCCAGCGTTTGTAGACCGTTCTCCAGCATTTGGAGACCATTCTCCCTTCGTTCGGAGAACTGCTTCATAAAAGGCATTCACAGGAGAACTGTGTTCTCTGAAAATGCCGGAGAACTGAGCAGCGATCTATTACCGCTGGTTCATAAACGGACACCTTAATTAGGTGAGAGTGCTCACACAACACATATTGTAAGGGTCCACTACAGTTATCCAATCCTGTTTTTTTTTTATGTTCCTCCAACATGATTGGGTATTTAGAGTGACCAGAACTTAATTTATTAACTGCAGGTTCAACATAGTGAAACTGGTTTACTAAAGGAGTTGAGATTGTTCACACAACAATGATGTGAATATTCTATTTGGTTATCCAATCATGTACTAAAAACATTCTATTTTGTAATGCTCCTCCAACATGATTGGGTATTAAGTGATTAGAGCCTCACCTTATTCATGAACTGCAAGTTCAACATAGTGGGACAGATGTACTAAAGGAGTTGAGATTGTTCACACAATAAATGATGTGAATATTCACTTTGGTTATCCAATTATGCACTAAAAAAAATCAAATTTGTTTTAATGCTTCTTCAACACGATTGGGTATTTAGTGACCCAGAGCCTCACCTTATTCATTAACTGCAAGTTCAACATAGGGAAACTGCTTTACTAAAGGAGTTTATGCTGTTCACACAATAAATGATGTGAATATTCACTTTGGTTATCCAATCATGTACTAAAAACATCCTATTTTTTAATGCTACTCCAACATGATTGGGTATTAAGTGATTAGAGCCTCACCTTATTCATGAACTGCAATTAGATTGATTTACTATAGGAGTTGAGGTTGTTCACACAATAAATGATGGGAATATTCACTTTGGTTATCCAATTATGCACTACAAAAATCAATTTTTTTAATGCTTCTCCAACACAATTGGGTATTTAGTGACACAGATCCTCACCTTATTCATGGACCCTAGGTTCACATCTGTGCAGGTGGTGCCGCTGCGGATCCACATGAAAATCCGTGCAGCCACACCACCCGCACAGAGAAATGCGGACCCACGGGCGGGTGCCATTAGTTCTAATAGCTCGCCGCCTGCACTGGAAAACGCAACCATACTGGGAAGCAAGGTTCCCGTGCTGGCTTCGTTTTCAGAAGTGCAGGGACTTCTTTCCTGCGTGTCACAGGCACAGGAGTCCATACAAACAAATGGGCTCCCATACCTGTGCAAAACGCAGCCTGCACGGCCGCAGATATGTGAACCAGGCTTAACTGCAGATTCAATATAGTGAAACTGCTTTACTAAAGGGGTTGAGGTTGTTCACACAATAAATGATATGAAGATTCACTTTGGTTATCCAGTCTTGTACTAAAAAACCTATTTTTTAATGCTCCTCCAACATGATTGGGTATTATGGTGTCCGTTTATGTGTCATAAACTGTGAATGACCAGAGAATAGCTGCGATCCTCTGAATCGCAGCTATTCTCTGGTCATTCACAGTTTATGACACTCAGATCAGTGGAGAACATGTTCAGCCCTTCACGGAGATCTGTGTTCTCCCTCCAGATTCTCCAGCCCAGAGCTGGAGAATCGGAGGGACCGCAAACTAAGCAGCGATAATTTAGCTCTGCTTAGTAAACTGATCTTTTACTGTAATCTCGCGAGATTATAGTAAAATCAGCCGTTTTCCAGCGTTTGGAGACCGTTCTCCAGCATTTGGAGACCATTCTCCCTTCGTTCGGAGAACTGCTTCATAAAAGGCATTCACAGGAGAACTGTGTTCTCTGAGAATGCCAGAGAACTGAGCAGCGATCTATTACCGCTGGTTCATAAACGGACACCTTAGTGATCAGAGCCTCAACGTATTCATTAAAGTGGTAGTAAAGTCACTTTGTTACTTTTTACATACAGTTACAGTTATAATAAAGCTTACCTTTTGGTAAAAAGAATATCTCCTAAACGTGCACTGTTTAGGAGCTATTCAGGCTTTCCTTACAGCAGCGCGCATGTGCTCTGAAGGAATGGCATACCCATGTGCAGTGTCCAGAGACTCCCATGCACATGCGCAGGAGTTACATCATTGTAGCTCAGCCAGCCAGATGGCAAGAGCTCGTGAACCCAGAAGGAAGACCTGGTGAAGATGGAAGCCTCTACAGCGGTGACAACGTGCTGCTGGAGGACTTTGGTTCACACCTAAGCATTTTCTGCAGCATTTTGCAGAAACACAGTACAGTCCATTTAACATGATTTCCTATGGGACATGCACCTGTGCATTTTCACCCATTGTGTTTTTTGGAAAGAGACAGGGAATTTTTTTAATGCAAAAAGTGGCTCTTTTATTTTTTTATAGACTTCAATGGAAAAGCTGCAGAAAAGCATATATTGCATATAGGCAACCTGCGTAGGTGTGAATCTAGCCTTAAGGTAAGTTTTGCATAATGTGCTAGTATGCGATGCATACTAGCACGTTATGCCTTTACTTTGCAGGGGATTTTTAATTTTTCTTTCAGATGCAGTTTACTACCACTTTAACTGTAAGTTCAGCATAGTGAGACTGATTTACTGATGGAGTTGAGCATGTTCACACAGTGAGGGAGATTTATTAAAACTGGTTCATTCAGAATCTGGTGCAGCTGTGCATGATAGCCAATCAGCTTTTAACTTGTTTAACCAGTTGACAACCGCAGATAGCCGAATGACGGGTACACTGCGGCCGGCCAGTTCTGGGAGAGGGTCATATGACGTCCTCCCAGAACGCGCTCTCCTGCGTGCCCTCCTATGGACAAAGCTGATCACGTGATGTGGTAAAAGGCCAATCACAGTGGCCTTTTACCACGTGATCAGCCATATCCAATGACACACTGATCACAGGGAAATGCAATTGCCCGTTCTCGGCTGCACTTCTTGCTATTAAAGCGTGAGGAAAGTACTGCCGAGAATCGGCAGTTGTCAGAGCAGGGATTGGCACCGATCATCAGGTGCCTGATGATCGGTGCCCAGCAGTGCCACCACCCACCAGCTCCGCCCACCTGTGAGCCCAGCAGTGCCATCCACCTGTGCCCACCAGTGCCACCCACCAGTGCTTATCAGTGCCACCCACATGTGCCACCCACCAGTGCCCAGCAGTGCCACACACCTGTGCCACCCACCTGTGCCCAGCAGTGCCACCCACCTGTGCCCAGCAGTGCCACCCACCTGTGCCCAGCAGTGACACCCACCTGTGCCCACCAGTGCAACCCATCTGTGCCCATCAGTACAGCCCAGCAGTGCCGCCAGTCAGTGCCACCAGTCAGTGCCCCAGCAATTGTGCCAATCAGTGCCCAACAGTTGCACCAGTCAATGCCCAGCAGTGCCGCCAGTCAGTGCCCAGCAGTGCTGCCAGTCAGTGCTGCCTATCAGTGCTATCAGTACCCATCATCAGTACCACCTATCAGTGCCACCTATCCATGCCACCTCATTAGTGCTGCCTATCAGTGCTGCCTATCAGTGCCCTTCAGTGCTGCCTATCAGTGTCCATCAGTGCCGCCTATCAGTGCCCATCATTGCTGCCTCATCAACGCACATCAGTGAAGGAGAAAAATTACATGTTTGCAAAATTTTATAATAGAAACAAAGAAACTTTTTTTTTAAAAAAAATTTTTTGCAATTGTTTTGTTTATAGCGCAAAAAGTAAAACACCCAGCGATGATTAAATACCACCAAAAGAAAGCTCTATTTATGAGAAAAAAAATGATAAAAATTTCATATGGGTACAATGTTGCATGACCACGCAATTGTCATTCAAAGTGTGACAGCGCTGAAAGCTGAAAATTGGCCTGGTAAGGAAGGGGGTATAAGTGCCCGGTAGGCAAGTGGTTAATTAAGCTTTGGCAGTAAAACCTGGAAGCTGATTGGTTTCTATGCAGAAATGCACCTAATTTTGCACTCTCCACTTTTGTAAATAAACCTTAGAGTGACCAGAACCTCATTTATTAACTGAAGGTTCAACATAGTGTCACTGCTTTACTAAAGGATTTGAGGTTGTTCACACAATAATGATGTGAACATTCACTTTGGTTATCCAATTATGCACTAAAAAAAATCTAATCTTTTGATGAGGATTGGATATTTAGTGAACCAGAGCCTCACCTTATTCATTAACTGCAAGTTCATCATAGTGAGCAGGGGCGGACTGATCATTTGGAAACTCAGGCACTGCCTGAGGGCCCAGGGTCAGTAAGGGGCCCCATGAGATGCCCCTGGTACCTTTTTCATAGGATTTTTTGAGTTTGGGCAAGGACACAGGGGCCCCATGATCCCCTATTGCCCGGGGGCCCCATGAGTTGTCAGTCTGCCCCTGATAGCGAGACAGATTTACTAAAGGAGTTGAGGTTGTTCACACAATAATGATGTGAAGATTTACTCTGGTTAGCCAATCATGTACTAAACATCCTATTTTTTATTACTCCTCCAACATGATTGGGTATTAAGTGACCAGAGCCTTGCCTTATTCATTAACTGCAAGTTCAACATAGTGAGACTCCTTTACTAAAGGAGTTGAGAATGCTCACACAATAAATGATGTGAGAATTCACTTTGGTTATCCAATCATGCACTAAAAAAATTCAATGTTTTAATGCTTCTCCAGTATGATTGAATATTTAGTGACCAGAGCCTCACCTTATTCATTAACTGCAAGTTCATCATAGTGAGACAGATTTACTAAAGGAGTTGAGGTTGTTCACACAATAATGATGCAAATATTCACTTTGGTTATCCAATCATGTACTAGAAACATCCTGTTTTTTAATGCTCCTCCAACATGATTGAGTATTAAGTGAGTAGAGCCTCACCTTATTCATTAACTGCAAGTTCAATCTAGTGAGACAGATTTACTAAAGGCGTTGAGGTTGTTCATGTAATAAATGATGTGAGTATTCACTTTGGTTATCCAGTCATGCATTAAAAAAAAGTCTATTTTTTTATGCTTCTCCAACATGATTGGGTATTTAGCAGGGGCGAACTGACAAATCATGGGGCCTCCGGGCAATAGGGGATCATGGGGCCCCTGTGTCCTTGCCCAAACTCAAAAAAGCCTATGAAAAAGGTACCAGGGGCATCTCATGGGGCCCCCTACTGACCCCGGGCCTTCGGGCAGTGCCCGAGTTTCCAAATGGTCAGTCCGCCCCTGGTATTTAGTAACCCAGAGCCTCACGTTATTCATTAACTGCAGATCAACATAGTGAGACAGATTTACTAAGGGGTTGAGGTTGTTCACACAATAAATAATGTGAAGAATAACTTTGGTTATCCAATCATGTACTAAAAACCCTATTTTGTAATGTTCCTCCCACATGATGGGGAATTTAGTGACGAGAGCCTCAGTTACTAACTCAAGATTCAACATAGTGGGGTTTATTTACTAAAGCTGGAGAGTGCAAAGTCAGGCTCACGTCTGCATAGAAACCAATCAGCTTCCAGGTTTCATTGCCAAAGCTTAATTGAACAAGCTGAGGTTAGAAGCTGATTGGTTTCTATGCAGAAGTGAGCCTGATTTTGCACTCTCCAGCTTTAGTAAATAAACCCCAGTGAGACTGCATTACTACAGGAGTTTATGCTGTTCACACAATAAGTGATGCGAATATTCATTCTGGTTAGCCAATCATGTACTAAGCAATCCTATTTTTTAATCTTCCTCCCACACGATTGGGTATGTATTGACCAGAGCCTCACCTTATTCATTAACTGAAAATTCAACATATTCATTTACTAAAGGAGTTGAGAATGTTCACACAATAAAAGGAGTGAATATTCCCTTTAGTTTTCTAATCATGCACAGATGAACTATGTAAACAGGAATTTCCTTTTCAGGACTGGATAATTGAAGTGAATATATACACAATTTATTATATAAACATGCTGGACTCGTTTAGTAAATCATTCTCACTATGTTGAATTTGCAGTTAGTGAAAAAGGTGAAGCTCTAGGAACTCTAAATACACAATTGTGGAAGGAACATTGGAAAATAGGATTTTTTTCTAGCACATGATTGGATGTTTAAGGTGAACACAGATGCACCTTTTTTTAATTGCATTCACTTGGAGTGAACATTGACTTGGAAATCATTCCCATTCTTCCTTAATGCTTAAGCCTGGGTTCACACTTGTGTGGTACGGCACATCGCATGTGATTCACACAGGAACCACACCTCACTGGCCTGCCTCGCCGCTGGCTATCCCCGCTTCAGTCGATCCTGAATACGGCTGCCAGACTCATTCACCTTTCCAACCGCTCCATCTCCACCACCCCCCTCTGCCAATCCCTCCACTGGCTTCCGATTGCGCAACGGATCAGATTCAAAATCCTAACACTGACTTACAAAGCTGTCCACCATACTGCCCCGTACTACATCACTGACCTAATATCCAAGTACCGCCCAGCACGCACACTCCGCTCCTCACAAGACCTCCTTCTCTCTAGTTCCCTGGTCTCCTCTTCCCATGCCCGCCTCCAGGACTTCTCCAGGGTGCCACCCATCCTCTGGAACTCCCTGCCCCAACCCATCAGATTATCACCTACTCTCCTCTCCTTTAGGCGCACCCTGAAAACCCATCTATTCAGGGAAGCCTACCCCACCCCCTGCTAACCTGCCGACCTCCTCCACTCTTCCTACCACTCCATCCCCCACAGCTATCTCCTCCTGTACCACTATCCCCTCTCTCCTAGATTGTAAGCTCGAAAGAGCAGGGCCCTCAATCCCCTCATGTTTTGCATTGTATTGGTATTGTTCTGTCACATGTTCTGTCCCCCTTTGTAATGTACAGCGCTGAGCGAACCATTGGTGCTTTATAAATACTGTATAATAATAATAGTCCTGTGCAAATCACATGCGAATACTGTGCTGTGCGATTTGAGCCATACATTTTGTATGGCTCAAATCACACCACATCTGCACCAAAAAAGTGTATGACCCTTTTTATGTTCCACACTAGAACTGGATCGCATGGGTATTCACACCCATGCGATCTGATTCTGCACATCGCAACACGTATTGCGAACCAATTTCGGGGTGTTGTTAACATACTCAGCCACAGCGGTTCGCATAAACGGGGTGCGATTGTGATGTGGAGCAGCATTCGCACAGAAAACGCTGCAAATTCCACATCACATCAGTGTGAACCCAGGCTGATTCTTAAAGCTTTAGCACAAGGATGAGGATCTTCATTTTAGCCAAGTAACTGTAATTTTTAAATCTCACTAGACTTGTAAATAACTCTCACTTTTTCTAAACTAAGTAGTCTCATCCTGGTTTGTTGGCCAGCCCTTTGTATTGCAGGAGGTGAGTAATGTGCAGTCATGACTTGCATTATACATATATGCTGAATAAACTGCATTCAACTCTACAATGACAGTGCTTGTCATTTGTGTTTTCTCTGTATATGATGACATCAACCTTTTCTATAGACTTTCTCAAGGTATTAAAAATGACCCTGTATACAAGGTTTCCACTACTATCCACAAAGTACTGACAATACCATGATTTACTGCATTGTGTAATCTGACATCAATCTACTGTAGGTGACGTCATTACCATCCATTGTGCAATGAAGCCTGTCTGTAGGATGTAGTAGGTTTACCAACACTAACACTCACATTTTACCCAAGGTTCACTGTGTTCACAGTTTACTACGCTCCAATCACACTAGGACATTTTTCAGCTCGACGCCTAACGCTCAGAAACGCTCAGCAAGCAAAATCAAATTTATTTCTATGGCCCTTGTTCACATATGAGCGTTTCATCGCCTATAGCAAAGTGCCTGTCGCACAAAAAACTACTTGTGTTTTATCCCCATACACTTGAATGGAAAATACCTGAACAGTGGGATTGAGCATTTTTTCAAGCATTTTTTCAAGTGTTATTTTTCAGGTGTTTTCTGCTAAAACAGCAGCTATTTCTATTGGCCATAGCAAAAATGCCTGAAAAATGCCTGAAAAAACACCTATAATATTTGCAAATCTGCTTTAAAAAAATGCTCAAAGATGCCTGAGAAAAAAAAAAAAAAACACTTGAAAAAATGCTTAAATGGAAAATGTTTAGATCAGTGTGAATGGAGCCTAAGGAGTATAAGCTTTGTCTAGGACAGTGCTTAATACAAGCACCGAACCAAGCTAGAATGCAGGTGATTTTTTTTGGTAGACCCCATCCACAGTTGAGCGTTTTTCAGTTCGAAGCTCAATGCTCAGAAACACTCAACAAGTAAAATCCCATTATTTCCAATGGGCCCTGTTCACACTTAAGCGTTCTGTCGCCTATAGCAAAACTTTTGTTGCTCAAAAAAGCACTTGGGCTACTTTTTAGGCTGATCTGAGCATTTTGTCTCCATAGATTTGAACAGAAAACACCTGAACAGTGGAAATGAGTGTTTTTTTCAAACATTTTTTTAAGTGTTTTTTTTAAGGCGTTTTCAAACAGTAGCTGTTTCTATTTCTATTGGCCACAGCAAAACCACCTAAGAGACAAATGCCTGAAAAAACGCCTATAACATTTGCAAATCTGCTCAAAATAATGCTCAAAAAAGGCCTGAAAAAAAAGCTTGAAAAAATGCTCAGTGCAGTGTGAATGGAGCCTTACTCCCACATTTATTTTCACCTAATCTTGCTTGTAGGGAGCTCAGGCTCAAGCTACTGTAAATCATTAGCCTGGGCAGTGGTGTATTTAGGTTTCATGCTGCCCTAGGCAACACAAAAATTGGCTCCCCTCCCCCCCACAGAGAGAGACCCTGACACTGACCAACACCCCCTCTCCCCCACGAAGAGAGCCAGACATTGACCAACAACACCCCAGCCCCCCCCCACCTGAGAGAGCCTTTTACTACCACTGCCCCCCATACACCAGCAAACGCCCCCCCCCCACACTCCGGCAAGAGGTAAGACACTCACCTTCACAGCTCTGGACATCCCCTGGAACAAGAGTCAGACTCTGCATACACCATCAGCAGCCCGCAGCCTCTCTCAGATCCCTGTGCTGTGTGTGTCCCTTCTTCCTTTCCTTCTTTCAGGGGACAGTACTGCCCCCCCTGAAAAAAGCTGCTGCCCCCCTGAAAAATGCCGCCCTAGGCAAATGCCTTGTTTGCCTTGTGGTAAATACACCCCTGAGCCTGCATCTTGGAAAGAGAG